AGAACTTGACAGGAAACTGAAAATAGTTGAGATGGACATATTTTACTACTTAATTCAACATCATGCTCTACCCAATTGTACCAAACCCTAGAAAATCTTCCAAGAAAGGAAACCTACAGTCCTTCTATGACTTAGTCCTGAGCCCTTTTTCAAGTACAAAGGGCCTCCAGTTGTTTTAATTTTTTTCTTATAATAGGTTCTGGGATCTCTGTGTTTGCCCCCACTTATGAAGATAATAATACTGATAACAAAAACATCTCAATTACTATCTGTCATGTACCAGACACTTTTCATATATTAACTCAGTATTTCAAAACAACTATCAGAATTGGTATTGTCATCAACATCGTTTTACAGAATGGAAAAAATGGTAAGCCTCTTATCCTTTGAGTCTCTTTTTCCACAATCCTGGCTCTAAGTAAAATACAATCTCATCAGTTGCACCCTGACTTTCATTGTCCCCCATAACAAGCACACAGGCTCTCTGATTCTAAAGGTCTTGCTATTAACCAATTCAAGGTAACAAAGAAGTGATAATAAAAATAACAAATCTGGGCCTGGCATGGTGGCTCACGCCTATAATCCCAGTACTCTGGGAGGCCGAGACGGGTGGATCACGAGGTCAGGAGATTGAGACCATCCTGGCTAACACGGTGAAACCCTGTCTCTACTAAAAATACAAAAAATTAGCCAGGCATGGTGGCGGGCGCCTGTAGTCCCAGCTACTCGGTAGGCTGAGGCAGGAGAATGACATGAACCTGGGAGGTGGAGCTTGCAGTGAGCCCAGATTACGCCACTGCACTCCAGCCTGGGCGACAGAGCGAGACTCTCTCTCAAAAAATAAAAAAATAAAAAAATAAAAATCTGGAGATGTTCAAATGTTCAACAATTCAACATTCAACATATGTTTATAAATGCCTGGCACCACACAAAAATCAGACTCTCAAAATTCTTAGTGTGAGAATCCCTAGTCTCCAGTTTACTAGCTATTTTTTTAATAAAGGGGAGCCTTGCTAGGTCTAAAAATTTTTCCTCCCCACTGACTTACCTCCTGATCTCCCAGGACACAAATCAAAATACACTAAAGGGAAAAATAATGGGTGCATCTTCATTGAGAAATCTGTACTTGTGAGGAATTTAAGGAGTCACATTACTCTTGTGAAACTCTGACCCACAGAGGAGTGGTTACTTTTAGGTCATTTCCTTACAATGTAAGCATTTGGTCTCTTCCCTTTTCATAGAATACACAGAGCTTCCAGTTTTCATTCTATATTTCCAAATATCTGAACAACTCCTCAGCTCCAAAAGTAAACTCCCTATCATCCTCTCTCCTCCTAAATCTCCTTCCACCAAAACCTGTTCTTCATGATAATATCCTTATTTCTGCTAATAACATCACTATCCTCCCAAAAATTTGTCCTGGGCCTATACTCTGGTCAGTTCCCAGTGTCAATGTCATTATAATGTCAACATCTTTCAAATTTGTACCTTCACTACAATCATCACTTTTTGCCTCAACTACTATAGTTAAACTCCATGGTATTCCTACTTCTAGGCTTCCACTCTTCCATTGGACCTGTTCACAAATTATTATCCATAAAGAGAGTTTCTTCTTAACTAAAAATCATATACAAAATCTTTAGTCTGACATTTAAGAATCTCCATAATCTGTATCCATCTATCTTTACCAGTCTGGTCCTTAAACATACCCTTACCAAATATACTCTGCTTTTCCTATCTCTATACCTTTGCTTGGGCAGTGTCCTTATGTGGAAGTTTTTTTTTTTCCCACCCTCCTTCAACTGCTAACAATCTTTCAAATGACGTTATCGTCAATGGAAAAAAAAAAAAAGCTAAGGCATATAATTTACTAAACATATACTCCATCTGATGCTTCACAAATTATCTGAATCTCCACAAAAACAAATAAGGAAGCAGTTAAGGAAACTGAGGAGGAGCTCACCGAAACTCACCAGCAAGTAAGAATCCAAAATAGCCCCATGGCATTCCATATTTTTAATGAAATAAGACATAAAAGAGACAGACGTTCCGTAGTCAGAATACCTGTGTTCAAATTCCAGCTACTCCACTACTCCACCAGCTACTTGTGTGAACTCACAAGTTATGTATCTGTGATGCCTTAATTCCCCCACTTCCCACTTATAAAATGGGGATAAGACAGGCATGATGTATCACACCTGTAATCCCAGCACTTTGGAAGGCTGAAGCAGGTGGATCACTTGAACCCTGGAGTTTCAGACCAGACTGAGCAACATAACAAGACCTTGTCTCTACAAAAAAACAATTTTTTTTTAATTAGCCAGGCATGGCAGTATATGACTGTAGTCCCAGCTATTTGTTGGGCTAAGATAGGAGGATCCCTTGAGCACACAAAGTCAAGCGTGCAGTGAGCCATAATCGCTCCAGCCTGGGCAACAGAGCAAGACCCTGTCCCCCAAAAATAAAAATAAAAAGGAAACAATTTACCATCTACTACATCAATGACTGTAAGAACCACCTGAGATATTACAAAGGGCTTAGAATTGTATTTGGCTCATAGTAACCAATCAATATTAGCTACATTACTGTTTTGTTGTTATTGATATACTACGTTATATAAACTTTGACAACACCAATCATATGCTGTGTTGTCCCCAAATCAACTTTTGTGTAATGTAAAAGATTCATAAAAGTTTAATATTTTACTTTTATATATGCTCAATAAATATCTATAGAATACATACATTTTTGAACAATGACTCACCAGTATGCTTTATTAAAAGGAATTTGCTTGTAATTTTGTTTCCTCTTTTGGGAAAAGTAACAATGCTTACCAACTTTCTTCCCCTTTTTATGTCATGTGAAACTATCATACGCAATGCTATATGGTAAACATGACAAACAGTGCAAAACACTATTTTGACTGAAACTCATTTGCCTTCTGCTAAACATCATTAATTCCCAGATTTAAAAATATTGTTATTTAAATGCCAACCATTTTTAGGTCACACCTATACGAAGTAAGCAAAACATACCATGATAGTTGACCAAACTATTTCATTTCATACATCTCCTATGGGAAGAACTATAAGGCATAAAATGCCTTTCTCCAACTTAACTCAAAGACATAAATCTATCCCTTTAGTCATACCCTCAGTCCTACCCTCACTTAGCTAAAGTTAGTGCCTGTAAAAGTTCTGAATAATCTACGATATTCTGGAATGCAGAAAAATATCAAGGGAAGAAAGCTGAATGCTAACAACAATTTATGCCCCTCCAAAATTATTGAGAAAATTAGCTTTATACAAGGAGAGATGAGAACTTATCCCAAACCCTTCAGTATTATAACTCTCAAACCAAGATTTTGTCTAAGATTTGCATTACACATAGAGACAAGATGACAAGCTGCCTAGCTTCAAACAAAGGCAGAGGTTAAAAAAAAAAAAAAACCTAATAAAACAGTTCTCATTCCCTACATAGAGAAAAATAACCGTCCTTCTCTTCAATAGTTTCCAACAAAACAACAAAAAAACTTACGTAATAGACAAATTTTGTTTCATTTAATCCTCATAACTCATTTGTTATTTACGGAAAAGGTCACAGAATTAGTAAGTGGCAGAACTGAACCCAGCTTGACTCTCAAATTTGGAATCCAGTATTTTTGAAACATTTGTTTTTGCAATAATCCATAATATACTCTACATTTCCAACTTCCTCTTGACACATGCATATTGTTAAAAACTGAAACAAAAGCTTCTTGCCATAATATTTACTTTTATTCCATACAATGTCCTCTGGTATTTTTTTCTTTCTTTTTAATGCTTTCGTCAATGTACTAAATTGATTCTAAAATCTATTAATGAATCCTTATGGGCCCTGCACTACAGCACTGCACTACACTTCTTACCTCCTGTTTAAAGTTCTTTTTCATTGCTACCACTGTCCAGTTTTGTTACTTCGATATGGAGCTAATCTCCACCCATTTAAAAAATTGTCCTTAAATAGAATAAACTCTTGAAAGTCCTACCTTAAATCTTGAATTGATTTGTTTCTCCACAAGAACTCTTTGGAGGCACAGCTACCTTACTTATTTATATTGTAACAAAAACTGCAGATGTTCTCCTTGGAGAACAACACATCATTGTTGAAAGGAATGCATCAGTTTTCACTGTTCCTGCTGCATCACTGACTAACAGTAATAGCCGGGCAGGTTTGGGGCAACAAGAGAGGACCCGAGCAGCTGCCCACGGTGCTGAAACTGATGATGAAACGACAGTTTTGGAAATTTACTATTTACTATTGTCAGATTAGGACAAAATAGAGGAATTTACCAGACACCGGCAGAGAAAACTGAGTGGCTGCCACCAAAGTTGCATGAGTGCTTCCGGGATACTACTGTTTGGCTTCTATGTCTGCCCACTCTCTCTTTCTCTCTGGGACAAAGTTCTTTAATAAGTGCAAGTCAAGTTAAGCGTACAGGCACAGCTGCTGACTGACCGTAGTATCTGGCCCTAGCAGGGGTCACGTCCCAAATCTGCAATCTGAGCTTCCAGGGAAAGAAAAAGGGGGTGGGGGTAAAAGAGAGGAAGTGATTGCCCTCCTTCTATTCGAAGACAAAACAGCCCCCTCAACTAAAGTCAAGCGATTTCCCCGAGGACGTTGCGGCAGGTGCTTGACCAAGAAAAGCCTTCCAAACATGTTTTCCAGGCAGGCTCTTGCAGCCTCAAGAAGGGAATGAGAGAAGCAAAACCGGTAACTCAACTTTGGACACACACAAACTCGCAGAATCAGAGTGCAGAGGAGACTCGGTCCCCCGAGGGCAAGGCTATTTTATTCCTTTTGCAAAAAGCCTAATTTACTTCTCGCCCAGTTCTAGAGGAGCAGCAAAAGACCTCAGCAGCAGGGCCGACTCCGGGCTCGAGGGCCAACAAGCGGGGTATGTTCTCTGGGCCTCTCGATAACCCGCTGCCCGGCTGCCGCGAAGCCGGACAAGGTCTTACCTTGAAGTCCAGCCCCCGCAACACAAACAGTCTCGCCGGCCGGCCGCGTCGCTGCGGGAGAAGTCCCTACCCTGACTTCATGACTGAATATCCGCACCGACCCCCACAGCCCGGAGTAGGAGCAGGGACGACAACACCGAGGCGAAGCGGAAGTCCCGCCCCACATGCCTCATTGGTCCGCACCCAAAGGCACAGAAAACCCATTGGGCCACATGGTTGCCTGTTAAGGCTCCTTCCCACTCTCACAAGGAGTCTCGCTACTTGCTCCAGCCCGGCTCGGAGAAATGCCCAGTTTGCGAGTCTCGTTCTTGGCCGCGTGATCGGTCTTCCCTGGAAGGGAAGGGCAGGGTGGGGCAGGCGTCTGCGGAACTGTAGCGCGGCTGAAGAAGCTGCTCTTGGCAGAGGAAGGGGCAGGCTGGCAGAGTGGATTGGCTGTGGGCGTCTGCCGCTAACCATGTGCCCCTAGAAACGGAGACCGTAGGGTCTGGACGACGCGGGACCGAGCGGGCAGGGCCTGTCGGTCTGATCCGCTCCGGCTGTTGGGACACAGTAGCCCAAGATCCGGCTGCCCGGCTGCTCCCGGGCGGGCCTGGCCCTGGCGCTGACGCTGACACGTCTCTTCCCTGCACACTACACTCACCCGACCTACTAAAGAGGCGAGGGCGAGGCCTCATCCGCCCTCCTCCCGCACCGTGCCCAGTCTGAGATCAGGGTGGGTGGGACCGTGACCACACCTTAGAGTAAGGCTCAAATTGTTAGAGATGCGAGCATCTGAACGCCAGTCCCCCGAGGCCTGGCTCGGATCCGCGCTGACATCAGCACTCTGGGCCTGACACGCGCCATCCCCGGGGCTTAGCAAAAGTCAAACCACGTGATTTTTAAAACCGTTGCCTCCTTTTGATGAACCAAAAATCTCGTCCCCTGCCGCCCTTCTGATAAACCTTTTCTGGTTGTCCCAATCTTAAACCAGTCGAAAATTACCGGATTGTACTATCCACACTGATTAATCATTGCCAACTCGCCACCTTACAAAAGCAGTGTGACTTAGTGCAAAGATTACCAAGTCCTGAACTAAAATGTCAGGAGACATAGAATCAGCCACTACTTCTGCTTCAAATAATAAGGCACCTTTAATAAGGCCTTTACAGGCTTCAACTCCTTCAACATCATGTTTTAAAAATGGTGGCGAGAAGGCTGTCACACAGAATATTAATAGAATACCATTGGATGTAACTTGTAACTTTGATTGCTTGGAGAGCCCTGAGTAGGTGGCACACAGCAACGGGGGAAAGACACTTTCGTTATTGTGTATCCTTTTGTGCCTTTTGAATTTTGAACCTTGTAAATATTACCTACTCAAATAAAATTCAAATACAAGAAATTTAAAATCAAATTTTAAAAAATTAAATAAAAGCCATCAAAGCTACTTTCCTCTTCTGTATATCCTATGAATATTCTATATAGTCTTAACTTTTCATTGGTTGTGAAGACATTCAATACTTAAATCACAATTCTGCCTTTAAGAAAGTCATAAATAAAACTCAGCATTGGGAATATTACTAAGAAGACTAGTGTAATTAATATAAACACATTTATAATATCTCTATAAGCATTTTTTCATTAAATTACCTCAAATTGGTATATTACATCAGATTTCTTGCATAACATCAAAAAAATTTTTTTAGGCCAGGTGCAGTGGCTCACGCCTGTAATCCCAGCACTTTGGGAGGCCAAGTCAGGCAGATCACTTGAGGTCAGGAGTTCAAGACCAGACTGGCCAACATGGTGAAACCTCATCTCTACTAAAAATACAAAATTAGCTGGGCTTGGTGGTGCACACCTGTAATCCCAGCTACTTGGCAGGCTGAGGCAGGAGAATCACTTGAACTCGGGAGGCAGAGGTTGCAATGAGCTGAAATCCCACCACTGCACTCCAGCATAGGCAACAGAGCAAGATTCCGTCTCCAAAAAATATATATATATATATATATATATATATTTAAGTCCACAGAGAGGAGCTTTGGGTTTCGTTATTGTTGTTTTATTTTTATTTATTTTAGAGACAAGGTCTCTCTCTGTTGCCCATGCTGGAGTGCAGTGGTGAGATCGTTTCTCACTGCAGCCTAGAACTCCTGGGCTCAAGTAATCCTCCCACCTCAGCCTCTGGAGTAGCTATGATTGCAGGCATGTGCCACCAGGCCCGGCTAATTATTTTATTTTCTGTAGTGAAAGAGCCTGGCTGTGTTGCCCAGGCAGGTCTCAAAGTCCTGGTCTCAAAGGATCCTCTTGCCTCAGTCTCTCAAAGTGCTAGGATTACAGGCACGAGTCACCATGCTCAGCCAAAGAGCTTTGCTTATTCCTTAAAGGCACCTGGAGTACAGAATATTTTACTTCTGGTTTCAATCTGCTCTTCAGATCACAATAGGTATAGTTCTCTCAGTTATGAACAAGGTAATGTGTGATTTGTACTGCGTTTAGGCTACACTCTGCAAAAACATTTACTCTCCCAACCTGTGCTGAAAAAGGTAAATTGGAAAAAAATATATTGGAAAAATGTATTAATTTTTCTAAAGCAGATTAGACAGTAAGATTGACAGATGTCGTAATTACAATTTTCAAGAACATGAAGGTTTAATAAGGCACATGATACTAATATACCACTAATTATCTTTTTATAGAAACAAAATGTGCTTTTAAGGTGTTGTATCTAACAGGTTTTTTTTTTTTAACCTTCCTAAAAAGTACAAACAGATAGCACATAAAAGTAATTGTAGACTCTCCTATTTCCAAAATATTGTAAGGCAACAACAACAAAAAAAGACAGATACCCAATTATGTAATTGTCTGAAATGGCTTAGAAATAGTTCTCCCTAAATACCAGAAAGAATGCAGGCAGTCTCCTTAAGCACAGAGATTAATCAGAAACCTTAAACAATTCTATGTATTATCATATTTAGAAACAGAAATAAAGGTAATTTTAGATTCAGAAAAAAAATGGTATTTTCATTTTGAAAACAAAATAAAATTAGTACTATTAAAAGAAAGAATAAGATCCATAAAGAATTTATGTATGTATGGAATAAGCAATTTTGAAAAGTACCAACCAGAATTTCTAAAAATAGCATCAGGGAACTTTTAGCCAAAGATTCTAAAAGATTCTTATTTCTTTGCCAAGTTCCAAATTAATGAATAGGTTCATTTAGTAAGATAAAAAGTGAAAAGTTCAGAACCTAAGGAGATACGTATCAGCCAGAGGGTTTTTCAACAAAGTTTAACCCAATTTATTTTCAAGGAGTTGAGAAAGATCAGACAAAAAGAGGTATGCTTAATGTTAAATGCCTTAAAAATGATATAGTCATTGTTTTATGTGGGATGGGTTGCCTCCCTCTCTATATCTAAGATGACTAACATGCAAATTCAACTTTTCCTTTGGGGCACTAAGAACCAGTTTTCCTCTGTTTGCTAACAAAGGAATTACAAAATAAGCATACAAAAACTCATATGACATAATGCAATATAAAGACGGAAGAAGTCATTGGCTTGTGAACTGATATAACCACATTGGGAAACAATGTGAAATTGTCTAGGGAGGGTGAAAAAGAAATTTTTCTATGAAACAGCAATTCACTCCAAGGAATATACCCTAAAGAAACACAAAATAAATTCATATTTAGGCACATTGTAATAAAATTTAAAGAGGATCAAAGAAAAATAAAACGTTTTAAACAAACAAAAAAAGATAAAATACTTACAAAGGAGTGATAACTGATAGCTTTTTTTTTTTTTTTTTTTTGAGACGGAGTCTCACTCTGTCACCCAGGCTGGAGTGCAGTGGTTTGATCTCAGCTCACTGCAAGCTCCACCTCCCAGGTTCACGCCATTCTCCTGCCTCAGCCTCCCGAGTAGCTGGGACTACAGGCATCCGCCACCACGCCCGGCTAATATTTTGTATTTTTTGTAGAGATGGGGTTTCACCGTGTTAGCCAGGATGGTCTCGATCTTCTGACCTCGTGATCTGCCTGCCTCGGCCTCCCAAAGTGCTGGGATTATAGACGTGAGCCACTGCGCCTGGCCTGGACTTCTTACTAGCTACGAAAGAAACTAAAAGTCAGTGAAATAATATCTTCAAATGCTAAAATAAAATAGTTACAACTGTCAATTTAGAATTATATGCCTAGTTAAGCTATCACTTAAGAGTGAGGGCAAAATAAATACATTTTTAGGGAAAATCAGCTTTTACCACTAACAGACTTCTACTAACTGAACTTGTAAAGAATATCTTCAGAAAGATGAAAATCAAACCTAGAAAAAAAGAGATGCAAAAAAAGGTATGGAGACCAAAGATATTGAGTATGATTTCCAAACCAGTAGACATAAAAAGGGAATAAAGGAATAAAGAAAACGATATGCAATATAAAGCAGAAAAGGAGAGATGGGAAGAAGCGAATGAAAGGTATTTTAAATGGCAAATTCAGAATGAGATGGAATAAGTGACATCAGCAAGATGGTGAAATAGGAGCTCTTTACTGTCATCCTACTGCAGAAGCATCCATTTTGAAAACTACCTCCAGATGACAGTACCTTTGTGGAAGTCCAGGAGTCCAGTGGAGAAGTTCCAGCACACTGTTGGAGTCTTTGGGGGCCAGGAGTTTGAGACCAGCCTGGCCAACATGGTGAAACCCTGTCTCTACTAAAAATACAAAAAAATTAGCTGGGTGTGGTGACGCACACCTGTAATCCCAGCTACTCAGGAGACTGAGGCAGGAGAATCGCTTGAACCCAGGAGGCAGAGGTTTCAGCGGGTCAAGATTGTGCCACTGCACTCCAGCCTGGGGGACACAACAAGATAAAAATAAAATAAAATAAAAAATAAAAATTTCCAGAATAGATAAATTGAAGTGGGTAAGAACAGTTTTGCTTTTCCTGCATCACTGCTTCCACTAGGTGGCAGAGCTCAGTGCCAAGAGAGACCTCCCTTGGCCAGCGATTTCTCCCACAGGAAAAGTGAGAGTTTAGTGAGTGAGTGCGTGTCTCTCCCAGCCATGTGGAACACTGCCCATGAGACCCACAGCCGAAAACAATTAACAAAATGGCAATAGTAGGTCCATACCTATCAATAATTACCTTGAATGTGAAATGGATTTAATTCTCCAAACAAGACATAGAGTAGCTGAATGGATTTTGAAAAAAACAGAGACCCAATTACATGCTCCCTACAATAAACTCACATCAGCTTTAGGGACATACACAGGCTTAAAGCGTGGAGATGGAAAAAGATATTCCATGCAAATAAAAAACACAAAAAGAGTAGGGATTGCTACACTTATATCACACAAAATAAACTTTAAGTGAAAAGCCGTAAAAAGAAACAAATAAGCATTATATAATGTTTAAAAAAAAAAAAAAAGTCATTGCATTAAGAGGCTGTAAGACGCCGGGCGCGGTGGCTCACGCCTGTAATGCCAGCAGTTTGGGAGGCTGAGGTGGGCAGATCACTTGAGGTCAGGAGTTCGAGATGAGCCTGACCAACATGGTGAAACCCCACCTCTACCAAATATATAAAAATTAGCCCGGTGAGGTGGCATGCATCTGTAGTCCCAGCTGCTCAGGAGGCTGAGACAGGAGAACTGCTTGAGCTGAGATTGTACCACTGCACTCCAGCCTGGGAGACAGTGAGATTTTGTGAAGAAGAAGAAGAGGAAGAAGGAGGAGGAGAAGGAGGAGGAGGAGGAGGAGGAGGAGGAGGAGGAGGAAGAGAAGAAGAAGAAGAAGAAGAAGAAGAAGAAGAAGAAGAAGAAGAAGAAGAAGAAGAAGAAGAAGAAGAAGAAGAAGAAAGAGGAGGAGGAGAAGAAGAAAGAAGAAGA